GATACAGCAGTGCAGCAGTTAGCTCCGTCGCTTCACAGCGGATGTGGATGTTAGCATTAATGGTTGTTGGTTTCATGTTGTTACACAAGCAAATGCAAGAAGTCACCTTTGCAGGCAGCGGCTGTTTGACACTTCTCAAAAATCTATCAGTAAAGCTGCATATCTGAGGAAGACAGGGTGATCACGGTGTAGTTGCACGGAACTGTATTGGCTTTTTAAATTAAAGTTTTGTGACACAAGAGGCAATAACAGCAGCAAATCTACTCTAACTTGCTGCCGTTAAAGTCAAACCACACGATCCACATGTTCACATAAAAATATTAATAAATCATCTTTGATACGAAGCTGTTAGCTTATGAGGCAGTTCTTGAAATTGTCTGTCAGAGCAACACGATGTTGAAAAGATCTGCTTTAGTAGAGTGGGATACAGGTAGGAGAACTGAGTAGTGACAATGAAAAAGAGGAGACAAAAAAAGTTTCACAATTCATTTACATTGTGTTTGATTTGAAAAGAGTTTAAAGAAACCAAATTTTCTTTGGATAATTCAATATAATGATGCCTTTAAGTGATACTGCTGTCAAGGACACAGAGAAGTTAATATCTGTAAGAGACATGATTGCTTTGCTTGCGTAAAGAGTGTTTGGTGGTATTAAAGAGTAAAAAAAATCAGAATTTATGCAAAAAACATAAAAACTTTCTGAAAGAAAATCGGCCCCAGGCAGTTATAAGAGCAAAACTAGAAGTGATAATAAGCATAGTAGTGAAATGTTCTCACAGCTGATCTGGCTGTACCAGATGGCCAGGAGCACTACATAACCTACAGTGTAATTTTTCTTTCGCTCAGGCATGTCCAATCTTGTGCAAATGACAATGATACCGCAGAGTCAGCCATAAACCTCCCCTAATGTTTGTCTCCAGTGAGCTCTTCCCTCTTCCCCCATGTAAAGAGACACGCAAGCACCTGGATGCAACCCAAAAATGGCTGCTTGAATCTTATACCTGTCTTCAATGGCACATGGCTGAGTGCTTTCCTCTTCTTTCTATACTTATGTTGACCTATCTACTCAGCTGATTGACTGTCATGACATTTTCTCACAGTTAGCTTTAATCATTTCATTGTAACGGTGGACCATTATGGGATGAGGCAAGCCGCTGCATAAGCGAACAGAAAAGCCCACTATGGTGGCACAAAGCCCAATTTACATAGAAATGGCCAGATTACTGAGCCCAGCACAGGCAATAAGTGCTATAATTCAAAATGACTACTGTGAGTAGCCAAGTTCAGATCTCCGACAGGGTATAGCCTCCAGCTAACACTAACATTCAGAGAGCAAGTGGTCAGCAAGCAGGAAGGAATGTGTTGTTTCAGCAGGTTGTGGGTATTTTGTCATCAAGTATCACACGTCCTCGTGCCCTTCTGCGTATCGATTCTCCCTGTGCTTCAGGCATGGCAACTGTAAAGCCTTTATGGCAAGGTCACAACACATTAAAATACTCAACTGACAAAAAGTACACAAAGTAAAAAAGAAACGGCTACTTTAGGAGTAAGTATGCGCTTTAAAGTCTGAACAATAAGATACAAAGTTTGTTTGACCTGTTTCAGCATTTACATACAGCTTTGCAGAATTAGAAAAAGTCATCCCTCCCATTCAAAACATATGTCCAGCTTGCTAATTAGTCCGGTGCTGGGGTTGATTCATAGCCTCCCCATTTATAGCATTTGCACAGAAATATCTTAATTATGGTCAAAGCCTGAGCTAGGCTAATGCACATTCACTAACAAAATGATAGATTATCACCCCATGGATATGATCAGTTATTCCTTCCTAGCAAGAGATTGGGGTGGAAAGAAGTCATTTCCATGAGCATACTAATTCACATTTACATAGAGATAGAGATGAATCCAGATGCAAATGAGAAAAGCTGCATGTTACTTAAAACTGGTCCGCTTTCTGTACTGACAAGCTTCACCTAGATTAATATCGACTTTTATCAAGGATGTTGATCAAATGGGGAGAAGGCAAGAGGGGAGAAGCAAAACAGTTCAACACAACAAGGCCCCCTACAAGGGAGCCAATGTCATGCCAAAGTAAACGAAAGAGATTAGAAATCTTAAGTTTCACTTCCTGGTTCGAAATTAAAACAAAACTCGCTAAAATGCTGGCATAAAGCATCATGGTGAAACTAGTTTAATTGCTTTTTTCCCATTTTGCACATCTGCTAAGTGAAGAAGGGAAGGATAGTTTATGATAAATGTGCTGTAGATATGTTGGACAGTAGACTTTCCTGCCTGTTCTCATATCTGTAGACATAGTGTTTATGATATCAAATATAAATGTTGAACATGAAATCAACTCAAGCTTATGACTGTCTGCAGGCTACGGTGTGACATTCTGGAGACAGCGCTTGATGAGCGCAGCATGACAAACAGGATGGATTTAAGTGCTGAAATTAATCAGGATTTATTTTTATGTATCCTATGACTAGCGTGAAGCAAATCGCATTAAGGGAAAATAGAGGGAAACCAAATTGAGGCTAAACAGTTCTTGTTTCTAAAACTGTTAACGGATTATTTGCAGATCTGCATCTGTGTTCTGTAGGCTACAACATTGCTCCAAGCCTTATACTATCATTATATATAGACAATGACTTGTCTATATTTCTGTCTACGTAAACTATTGAGATCAAAGATTTGACTTAGGGTTTGTTATCACAGATTGAGGGGGAAAAAAGATGTTTGCAATAGCGGTAACACACTTCTGTGATTGAAAAAAACAAGTTCGCTGTAATCTCTTCGACAATCTGCAAGGGTGGCAGCTGCGGGAGAGTACAGAGATGACTGGAAAGGGACAAAGAATCCTTGTCTTTCAGCACCTGGGAGCCTAAAGCTCAATAGCGGTCAATGGCAGTGGTAATGTATTTTAAAAGTGTGGAAAAACAACAAGCAGGATCAGCAAACTTTAGTAAGTAGTAGTAGTAGCAGTGTGCAGCCACCATGGAGACACCAGGGATCACCTCAAATTGTAAGTCAGTGCCTTGGTCAAGGGCACAGTGGCAGAAGAAATTAACCTGGCATGGTTTTAATGGTGGGAAAACCTGGACAGAGGGGTTATAGCTTGGATCTGAGGTCTCATGAATTGTTACCCAAAGAACTTCAAAATCATAGAGCAAATTAAGACATTTTTAACTAGTGATAAAACTAGCAAATGTTCAACATAACATAAAATAATATTTAACTTTTACTTCATTTAATTTGCACATTCTCAGATATTTGACATATTTTTTCTCCATGTGCATTCCCCTTCTCGCCTTAGTTTGTTTCTCATTACTTTCTGCTGTACAAGAATGCACAAAGCCTTTGGCCTCGCACTTCCAGCCCTGGATTGGACAAATTCAGTCTTTGTGCCAGCTCTTCAGGCACACCACAGCCTGCATGTCCAGTGCTTGCATTGTCAAAGGCCCTCGAGTCGTTGCCCCAACCCCCCCCCCAGTTTAACCATCATGGCCCAAATCCACTCAGCTGTGACTAAGTGACTCTTCCTGAGTTTCATAATGAAATCATTCAGTCATGCGCAGGAAGTTCCTTGTACTGTGTAGCTGTGAAACAATGCAAGTTGTGTTCTTCCACTCACGGGCCACCAGTCAGTTTGTCACCTAGTGTCTGGGAAAATGCTCTTTTTTGGCACGGTCTGACAAAAGCAGTCCTGTTTTCTTGAAATAAATAAAATAGAAAAAACATCTAAAGTCTATTAAATAACTCCAGAAGTCAGTATCTGATATGTTACGCCTTGTTTTTACTCTTAAATGCACAGCTCAACAAGTGTAGAAACAACAAGCAAATTTACAGGGTAGTGTGTGCCAGAATATTTCTTGGCAGGTGTTGTCATAGTCTTGTTGTCGCCATAGGTTTGCCGGGCAGTTGGCTGAGAATTTGGAGGAGTCACTCCTCTTGGCCAAAAGAAAAATTTAATCTTAAATCTTATTAAACCAGCACAGTCACATCATTTTACTCTTTCTTTAATGTATATGGACTCAGCAGACAAGATACAGTAAAAGGTTTATTTGTGAGATTTAGAAGAGCTGATAAGTAGATTTTCCTTTTAGTTAATAAGATTGTGGCTGTATAGCCTCCTGACGCCAAACTGACTAGACTCTCACTTACCTTACAGCAAGAAAGCAACAATAATTAGCATCTACTGAAATGTCTTTCTGTTCCTAATAAAATGTAGCATGCTGTAATTTATTTTTTTTTAAAAAAGATGAAAAAGGATCTGAGTCAACGTTGACAGCGGTTTGTGTACACAGCTGGGACGCTTCAGTGCCTGAGAAGTGTCTGTGTGTGCTGGTGTGTCCGTGGAGATGATCCTCCCTCAGCTCCTCAGGAATGTTTGAAATTTGCACAAAGAAGAACAAGATTGGCTCGAGTACCTGGGGTCTGTGCTCGGGCATGCTGTTAGCCCCTGGCTGTCTGTACTTACACAGAAAAAAAAACGAACACATCTGCAGGAAACAGAAGAAAACTGACACGTATTAACTTGTAAGTAAAATAATCTGCTGCACTGATGCCACAAGCTAGGACGGATTGCATTCATTACACAACTACACAAACTTATCTGTATGAAGATTTTGTTGGTGTTGGGTGGGGAAAAAAAAGACCTCATGAAGTCTGTGTGGTTATCTGAAATAAGCAAGGCGGTAAGAGTGAAGGAAGAACATATGTGAACAGTTAAGGGTGTTTCAACAACCTCTTTGAAATACCCCATTAGTGTGATTACAGCTGGCAGGAAACCCGGGTTAAAAAATGACTTTCTTTTGCAAAGGAATCCACAAAAAAACTAATTAGGAAAATGAAACTTTCATTTTCAATTTGGGTAATAAATGAAGCTGACAGTGATGTTAAGAGCAAAGACAGATGCACAAAAAGATGGGCATGGTGTGGATGGAATACGGAAGGGGAAATCATGCGAGGCAAGAAAGGAGGAAAGGTCACAAGTCTGTCTTCGACATGCAGACCTTAGCTTTGCATTGTTTTTAATCCCCAGAGCCTGCAGCCGGTTGTAAATCTCTTTGCAGAGTTTGGTATTAACAGACATGCCTGGAGCAACATACCCAGCTGCAAGTGTAGATTTTGCAAGGGCCTTGAAACACATGTTCCTATTTTAACTGAAAAGGCAGCACATTAACATGACCTTCTTTCGCCTACACACCAGTCAGTGCACATATTGATCCCCAAGTCCCTATTACAGCTGAAGCACAGCAGAATGCCTCCAGTTACACCTATTTACACCTTTGCTGCCTGTCTCCCTTTATGCAGTGACCTAGCAGGCAGAAGAACAATTCACTGAAACATGCCGTAAACCATGAAATAAAGTATAAGTACAAAGATCGAGCCACTATTTTACAAGGTGCATTCATCTCTCTTCGTGGAGTCGCGCAAACAGTTTGTGGCGTGTCCTGGAGTTGAACATATATAAAGAAATTTTAAAAGAAACCAGATGGGCTCTAGGATAGCAAAAGGCTGGAAAGAATTAGTCTGTCAAAAGTTTGATCACTGTCTTTCCCTTAGATGTGCTCATAAGTCTGGAACCAGAGATCAGACACAGAAGTAGGCCTGTAGTGGAACGAATAAGAAAAGTATGGCTCTATAAGGTTCAAATTAAAAAAATTATGTGCTGATGTAAAGTGACAGCACAGACTATACAGCGAAATAACGCAGCTGGCCTTGAGGTTTTTCTCTTCAAAACCTTTCACGGTTACATTTCCAACCCATAAAAAGCCGTAAACAAGTCTCTCCACTGAGGGCAAAACACTCATTAACAGCACATGCAGCACATGCAACCAGTAAGGCAGACTGCTTATAGGTTGACCAATTTATATTATGCAAAAAATATTCTGCAATATACGGTATAGCTATGAAATGTCATAATATAGTTAGGGAACAGCAAATTCCTTTTCAAATGATGTCAAATAATGTCACTCGTCTCCTTCAGTTCATCATTCTGGGTGAGATTATAAAGGGGATTAGAGACGCCTGTTGTAGCGTGCCTGTGGCTGACAGAATGGCTCCTGGGGAAGTGTGCCAGTGCAAGATATTTCTACAGTACAATGAGAGCACTGTATGGGAAAGTACAGAGGCAACAGAGGCTTCAAAAACAAGGAAAAAAGAAAAAAAAACAGCACTCCACACAAAATAGGTAAATATTTGATGCGTTCTAATAAGGCAGTTAAGAACAAACTGCATACAAAATACGCATTAACAGAGAAGTTAAATTACAGCATATTTATAAAAAAAAAAAAAACAAGAGTTTTTTGGAATGTTAAAAAGCACATTAAATTAGTTTAGCATCAAATTTCCAAAACAGGTTGGCAGACAGTATTTACATCAGACAAATGCACAAATGAATATGCTCCACCTGTGAAATTAAGGCTAAGTACGCTATCCAAACACAATTACAAGAGTGCAGGTGCTGGCAATGTGTGTGCAAAAGATCTTCTCTAAAAGAGCGAGCTGAACGTCAACAGAAATACAATATTCAAGAGTCAACTTACATTAAGGCTTAGGAGTTTATCATTGGGATTATTGAACACAAATCAACAATCCAAACCGCACATGAAGGGGTAGTTTATGATACCCACCACGCATAGTCTACTCTTTACATTTAGTCATATTCAGGTGAACATCAGAGGGGTGAAGTAAAGACAGGGTCATTCTTCACAGTGAGGCGAACAGTGAACATCTCAGCTTATAAACGTGTCAAACTGATTCATTGATAAACTAGGAAACACATTCTATTCACAGGAGGTAGTTCAGCTGGATATTCAAGACATTTTTTTCTGTGTAATGCGCATCAGCTTAGCACAGGTGTGCCAGCTGCGTTTGCAAAGCTCATTACTGTGCAGGCAGACAACAAATCCATCACCTGTGCATGCTGAATGTTCACAGCTGGCCGTATTTTCCTTTGCAATGCACAATGTGTGTATATAATCTGTCTATCCTGTCCTGGAGAACACCGGCGTGCTCATCTGAGAGAAATCCTAATTCCTGAGACAAAGGCTCGCTGTCTCTGTAGAGCTCCAGCAGCCTTTGCCTGGAGTCTCTGCGCGTGTGCAGCTCTGCCACGCGCTGCGTGGTCCTTTTTCTAAACACGCACACAGAGCTCAGGACTGTATTGTGATATTTCTCCCACATGTTTAACACTCGAAACCCGTGCACTAATCCGGCCTCGTTGTCTATGAATACGAGGTCACCGCGAGGGGTTTTCAGGAGATTATTCGTGTCTCTCTCCATTACACGGGAGTCCCACTGCAGACTAAACAAATTGCTGACGAGCCTGTCAAAGTTTGCCGTCAGGTAGTCTAATACGATCAGGTCTGTCCACTGCATCAGCTCCAGCAGCTCCACCGCTGTCTTGTTCCAGAGCTCCTTGAGCGCAGGATGCAGCCCGCTGCTCTCCTGTCTCAGCGGCGCAGGTGTGATGACCCCTGTCAGGTTGGAGATCCACTGAGTTAGAGAAACCACGGCTCGGTCATTCCACTGTAAACCATCTATCCGCGTCCTCACACTTTCCCATTGCTCACTGTCACTGTCCAGCTGGGACAGTACGAGAGGGGGCAGGTTTGTGATGCCAAGCAAACGTGCAAGGTAATAAGTCAAAGTTTCACCCTGCACCTGGTCCGCGTTTATCCCGTAACGCACACAAGCTTTGGTCCCGTCTGCAAACGTGGCAAGCTGATTGGATATCCTGCCGCATCCCGGCTCCAGCTTCACCACCCGGTACGTCCTCGCTTTCTTTTGCCAAGCCAGAGCATATTCCTCCGTGAATCCCGCAGGAAGGGTATCTTCCAGCCATTCGTTCCAAAATATTCCGTCTTCCAATGGGGACAACTTGACCGGGCCCTCCCGCGGGGCTGACCTCTTGTTATCCCCATTCATATTGTAATCTCGATTTCCTGCAGAGACAGGTTGATTGGTGAGGTTGAGGCGAGTCTTCAGTCTGTCCCCAAAGTGCAGTCTCTGTGCCGCTGGGACAGCAAGCAATGCACGGAAAGTTTTGGCTGAAAGGTCCACTGGGAGAGCTTGGTGAAAGGACCCTGCACCTGGTACTGAGAACCTCCGTTTGTGTCGCTCCAAACGGTCCTCCAGTGCGCTCCAGACGTAGAAAACACTTGCGAGGGCGCACAGGAGGAGCAGAGAAAACAAGTTCGCTGAAAGAACCCTCATGGTGACGGCCACCATTCCTCTTGGCACACAGTACTCCAGCAGATTTTAATAAGATACAGGCAGAAAAAAAATTCTCCGATCCGCAGTTGAGCTGGAGCGGCTTTGTGCGGTGCGCTTTCTGTCCTCTACACGCCCGAAGCCCTGCGGCTCAAAGGCGTACTGGGTAAGATCACAAGGAGAAGAGGGTCTCCGAAACTGTGTGAAGCTCATCTCCCGTCCTGTTCACACGCCTTGTCATATTCCTACTCTATGGGAAAAAAAATGAGCGCATTTCGCTTCACCCCGATAGCCGCTATTGGACGTTCTCCGTTACAGTCCACTGGCGTCGTAAGGGCTTTCTGTGCGTGCACGCCACACTCTTTCCCATCTGCCTTTATCTCTCCACCGGGCGTTGGGTGAGTTTGATTTGTGGTGGAGTCGGTTAGCAGAGACACACTAGGCGGTGAGACACGTGACTTTAGTCCCGAGATGGTGGGCGGATCGTGGGAAGGAGGGTTCCAAGAGGAGCGGAGCAAGTGCACCGCTGTGCGTTTTATGTGTTTGTGTGATGTCAGACGATTGTGTGTTATTACAAAAAAGGTAGCCATTATGATAATTGATATCCAGAGTATAAATACTCCGCATTTTAATACACATGCATACGAATTTAATACATTCGTATGCATCAGCGAGGCAGACAAGAATGGAGTCCAGGCGAGAGAGTTTGCAGACCTCACTCTTTTTGCATAGCATTTTTCACTGTTTTCGAATGTATCTTCTAATTTATGTCCGTTAAGGAGTCATTATGAATAAGAGAAACCACTAAGTCGTGTCATCATATTTTACTTTGTTGTTTTACTTTGTATTTTTCCAGCAGATTTCAGATTAAAGTCAAGGCAGTACTGAATTTCAGCTTTAACGCTTTTTTTTGGAGTATCTATATCTAAATTGGCCGCAAGACTCTTTGTTCCAGAGCATACAAACTAAGCAACAATATATGAACAAATAAACCAAATGATCTGATCAGGATGATTTGATTGCCTCTCTGCCAAGAGCCAGAGTAACACAAAAAGCAGATACTTAAACGAAAAGCCTGGCAAAGGATTCAGTATATTCCAATTTATTGACTCAAGCAGTTTGTTGGGAGCCAAATGCAGTCTCCTTCTTTAAGAACAATGCAATCACAATTAATAAACAATTTGAGCCTATTTTTTACATTCTGTTTTAATTCAATTGCGCTACAGTTCCCCCAGTTTCTATAACATACAGTTTTAACAATATTCCCTTAAGAGAAGGCCAAGTCCTTATTAGCAGATGAGACTTGCTCAGTTATGCATAGCAGATACAAATACACTATTCCAGTATTTTTAATAATTTGCACTCTTGATGAATATTTAAAAAGAGCACAGTTATTTCAATTTGTGCTGCTAAGCATTTGACCATTCTCCTATGAACACTAAAGTGAACCCCTGCTTGTTTGCTCTTTGTTCGCGGTTTTTGTTAAACCAGATGTAACATGCGTGCACATAAACTCCTTTATACACTTCTCCCTCACTAATATTCTCTCTCATTAACATCCCACTGCAACCTATACCATTCCACTCATGTTTTCACTCTCTGTATCTTGAACCTTGGTTTCCTAATCAAATTAATTGGGTTATTTTTATAGCAACATGCTGGCATGCTAAATCGCCTGAGTCGAAAAGACAGCCACGGACAAGAATACTCAATTACAGCCAGTAAACTAGATGTCCACTAATGTATGCTCGAAATGCCCAGAGTGCTTAAACTCTTATCTCCACTGACATTCATATTATATCATAGCTTGAACAGAGAAATAGTGAATTACAAAATAATAAAATAAATAAATCTAATTTATCTTTTATAATCCTATATAGAAGAAAAACTCCTACAGACAGGCAGGCGAAATGATTCTGATTGGGACATGCTTCTTGTGTGCTTTCATTAACATCAGCAGGATAATTTCCTTTCTGAGAGCATGTTTGATTCTGCATTGCAGCTTGATGGAGCAGTGTGGAGAGAGACTGAAAAACCTCTCGATTCTGTGCAAGCAAAGAGGAAATAATGAATGCAACAGTCTCAATAAATGGTTTGTGTAGCGGTGAGTGGTACGAGGCTGTTTTTTCTGACATGTTGACAAAAGAGTCACTCCTGGTAAAAGTGAGGCTTTTCCACCTGCTGTGTAGAACAAATTAGCCTTTCTTAATTGCGTGCCGCCAATTGCTCAAGATTGCAGATAGTTAGGGCACTCAGCAGGTTTGCTAAATATATACAACTTTATAATTACGTTGAAAGGGTACCTTGAAGTAGTTTGAAATATCTCTCTCTTTGATCTCCAGTCATAACAATCCTTCACCACCTTGCCACTTCCCTTCAGTTCCACATGAAAAGTGAGTAACAGCAAGATTTAAGACTTTCAGTGTCTAGACATAGAAAATGAAGAAGGCTTAAGTGCATTGCTGGAATTCTGTCTGATGGCTGTTACTTAAAAGGAGTGTGGACTAACAGTAATGGCTGGCTCTTGGTGTCGCTTTTCCCGAGCACAAGTGTGGGCATGTTCACATATCAAACCTATCTGTTTTCTTGCTATGTGTTATCTGCAGGTCACCTAACCTCTATGTCTCTCTCCTCATTACACCCCCATCCCCCACCCTCTTCCACACACACGCACACACAGACATCCCACTGCTGTCATGCCCCCTGCTGCTGCATTCCTCCCACAGCAGTCCCGGGGGGGCTGTAACTTATGGAAACCTTTTCTCCCCTTGGTCATGGCTGTCCGTAGTCAAGTGCCGCAGTGACACGGGAGAGCTCAGACCGTCTGTCATTCTGTCTGCAGCAACACAGTACACCCATCACTAGTCGCCTGACAACGCCACAGCTGTGATACAATCTCGTGGTGCCTGTGTGGTGCCTGTCTGCCAGCGCAGATGGACGCAGGGAGGGAAAGGAGATATTAAGGGACGGAGACAGTGGAAGAGAGAGTGCAGTGAGCTTCTATCACTTCCCCCGTAGTCTTAGGTTGTTCATGCTGAGTAATAACTCATGGGTCCCTTGACACTTTGTGGCACTCTGTTTCCTGGACTGAATAATGAATGTGCAGGACTTCCATTAGTGTTGAAAGCTACGATTATTTCACTAGGCCTTACAATTACTCATGCTCTGGGATTTGGGGACAGGGCGGAGGAGATCCATGGGGATGAATTTGTGTCTCCTGGTTTATGTATGTGCAGAGATGTCTGCATGTGGATGTATGCTTACAAGTGTTTATTCTAAAGAAAAGAGTGGAGCAGATAATACCAAGGGGATTAGAGGCTCACGTGATTATGTAATGTATATGTATATGTGAGGTGTCAATACTAGCTTTGAATCCAGGAGGAGGCACATTTTTATCTGTTCAAGAAACCCAACATGGTCTTCTCTTTCTCTCCCATCACATTAATATAGAATATTTTTGCAGAGTATTGTAATGAATACTTCAGAGAGACATAACACATTTATTTTATGTACCGGAGACACAGATCTTCTCAGTACTTGGTTCAAGTAATGCTTTGGAATTCTGCATACATTGCCCAAAATTGATTTTATCGTCAGCAGATTATCCTGACTTCAATTAGCCGGCAGATGTTGCTGGTCTTAATTCTCGGCTAGAGTCTTCCCAGAATCATGCCATTTTTAAAAGCAGTTTCACTCGTGGTTTCATTTAGACAGAAGTACAGGGAGTGAGCAGAAACAAGTAGCCTGTGCAGAATCAAACTGAAGCTGTTGCTACAACAAGCGATCCACTGCATTGCTGAACATGGCACACAGCCACCAAACGGCTGCCTTTTTTCCACTATTCACTGCAGTTTCGCTGGCCTGCCTTTGCCAATTTCCTGATACGCAGGCCCAAGGTTTTTAAAAGAGTGGTTGGTTGCCATTTGCTAATAATGAATGGGTTATTGTTAATAAATGCTGAATTTATCCAGTAGTCACAGAAGAAAAGATGGTTGGGTTATTCATGTACTGCACCCTCGTCTCCGCCCGGCTTCCATGCAGCAGAAGTTAGAGAGGGGAGATTTGAACGAGCAGAGGAGTGGGCCATTGAAATTCAGTGCTACACAAGGGAGACCCTCTTACAAGAGTGAAATCAGGAGGGGAGGAAGGAGATGTACTGTGGAGCCACTTGATTAAAGAATCAGTGTCCAATCTCCTGGATTACACCCTCTGACCTGCCATGCCAAATCCCCTATTAAATAAGTCAAGAATTGAATTCTTTTTCTTTCCTTTCTGCTAACTGGCTTATTGACTCAAGTGTGCTCAGTGCCTTGTGGTGAGGTCCGCCTTTCAATTGGCTAAAAGGAGGGTTTAGGAACATCTGATCATTATTTACAAAGTCATGACTTTCCAAGCCTTGGTATTTTTTCAGATGAAATGCACCATGTGATGCTGCGATCTGGTTCCCCTCCCCAGTGCTCGAGGGGGTCATATGGTCAGTTAAGATTAGAGATGGAGGTTGAATGTCTTCCTAGCATTTCAGCGAAAAATTTAGCAGCTTCAAATTTAATGGGCAAACAGCGTGAAGTGCTTGCTCTCATATCACACTGGAATGAATCTGCTGCATGTGTGAGGGAAGAGTGCAGTGGTCTAAATGCATCTTCTCTCCTAACTCCTCCCCACCCTCCCAGGATTTCAAACCAGTTTAAAGCAACCACTAATGAAAAACATGGGACCTTTTCAGCATATGGCCCAAGCTTACACAGAGAGAGGAGGGGACACAGTCACATTTCATTTTAAACTCATGCGTCCAGATATGCATATTAACATGACTTATTTCACATCATAAAAAACTCCAAATTAAGGTATGTTTTTCTAATCTGTACTCCAGATAGAGTACAAACAGTGTTTTCAATTACTTATTTAAGCTCAAATTCAAAGGCTAAAGTCCACAGGACAGTGCAGATCTGTAATATTATTAATTTACCATATGGAGCACACTGCAAACACACATACACACTTACACAGTAACTATAGCTTGCACATTTATTTCATCTTGTCACTTCAAAATACACCTTAGATGTAGCAGCTGGACATTGGGCAGAAAGAAAAATTGCAATATGCTACCAATGTGTGAGGTTGCCACAGATCTGCTGATCACAAACTGCCAGATACAATGAAGGCACATTAGGCACATACTTTAGTTGAATACAAACCTTGTGGTCAGTAACATCTGAAAAAGCTTCTGTTATTTCAACCTTATGTTTTGCGTTTCCCAGTGGTAGTCTTGTTTTTATGGTTCCTCAGCTGTAGTAATAGTACTGTTGGGGCATTAAGAGAGGGAAAAGGCCAAATACCCGGGCACGAGCTTGACCCCTTTGCATTTTGACCTTTTTTTTTCTACCCATGAGGCTGGTAGTGTTGACAGGACGCTAGTGGGGGAGGGTAGGCAAACAAGCCACATGGAAAAGGCTAGCAGGCAAGTGCTG